CCAGCCTCAACGATTCTGTGATTCTGTGAGAAGGGCAATGAAGCTGGTGAACAAGTCTGGAGAACAAGTCTTGTGAGGAGTCATTGAGGGACCTGGGGTTGTTCAGCCTGGAGAAAAAGAGGCTGAGAGGAGCCCTTATTGCTCTCTAGAACTACCTGAAAGGAGGTTGTAGAGAGGTGGGGATCAGTCTTTTCCCCCAAGTAACAAGCAATAGCATGAGAGGAAATGGGCTCAACTTGCTTCAGGGGAGGTTTAGATTGGATATTAGGAAAACTTACTTCACTGAAAGAGCAGTGAGGCATTGGAACGGGCTGCCCAGGGAGGTGGTGAAGACACTATCCCTGGAGGTCTTCATAGATGTAGCACTTTGGCACATGCTTTAGCGGTCACGGTAGTGTTGGGTTGATGGTTGGACTTAATCTTAGAGGTCTTTTCTAACCTTAATGATTCTATGACTCTCAATCTTTCCCAGTATTAATTGCAATATCCTGTCCTTTCTCCCCCGGCTGTAGCTGGGATGCTGCATACAAAAGAGAGCTGCAAACTTTTCAAGATATCGGAGATGCTGGAGAAATTTGGTAAATGAAATCACTCCACCAGAGTGTTTCTACTATTTCTTTATAAAAATGGACATTGCAAAACACAGCCAGCAATGCAGTGGGTTACTGAATAGTTCTGGATGTTGGCAAGGTGACAGGGAATGCTAATCTTGAAGCCATCAGTTCCTCTTGCCCAGTTTTGCAATGCAGATTTCTCCGTTGCGCTTGGGTAACTCATTACACACACAGTGAGCTGGTAGTTGTCGTGTATCATACTAGTGAAGGAGCTTTTTATCCCTGAGCTCAGGTTGAACTATGTAAGTTGCTGAGGCTGACATATTTTTTAAATATACGGTGGGCTTCACCTCCCACAGTTGATGTTTCGGTGATTTTTAAGGCCATGTGATTAATTTTAATTTAAACAAGGCAAACACATAATATAAACTATGTTAGTTCCTACCCAAGTGCTTCAGTAAGAGACACTTTGTAAAAGCTGGAGAGAGAGCACGCAATGAAATAAGTTTGCTGTACCTCTTCTACATTTTTGCTGTATTAATTACCCAAGCCTTTGTTTTTCATAGGTTTGGAGAAGAAAGCATGGTTCGAATAATTAGATGGTTGGAAAAACAGAAGGTCCCCCTTGACAGCTCTGTGCTTGACATTGGAACTGGAAATGGTGTTTTGCTGATTGAATTGGTTGGTATATTGCAAAGTTTGCCCTTTTGATACAGAGTCAGCGCTCCAAACGGGCTAGTTTAAGTACAGCTCTCACAAGTGACAACAGTAATCATGGCAAGCTGTATCGTAGGTGGGAGAACTACATTAAATTTGATATTTTTGAGGTTTTTTCCCCATCAAAGAACACTGGTTACTGTGAATCAGGTTTTATGTTTTCGTTTGGCTTAAGAGTGTAAGTGAAATTAACTTAGTGCTGTTGACGTGCCTTAAAGAGCATCCTGGCACAAGGGCAAGGTGAAATTGCAGGTGGCTGCCAGACACCGTGTGAGTCACACGTGTGTCACTCTGTGACCCAGCAGTGCCATTAGAGGCACAGAACACGTAGGTAGTTCTGCCAAGTGGAAATAGCGCTTTTTTTTTTTTGTCTTTTTGCTAGACATGCTCAATCTTCTTATTTCTTGGTGCTGCCCGAAGTGTCAGTCCTCCAGATTTCAAAATTTACAGTATTTCCTTAAAACAATCAGCCTGAGTTTCCCTGATTTTAACTTCACCTTCCTGTTTTCCTACATGTAAAAATGCATTTCTTCCTATTGTTGTATAAAACACCCCTAGATGAGGAAATTAAGTTGATCGATACATGAAGCTCTCTGGTGTGCAGAACCAAACCCTTTCTCTGCACTCAGCTCTGATAACAGTACTTATTATCGATGTAAAAAGTGATTAAACCCGAGGGTTTTACGTAAACGACTGAAAAATTTTGTCACGCTTCTTTTCAAGAAGCGTCCATTTCTGTCAGGGGGGAAACCCCTCGCCAGGCCTATTCTGAAGTGTTATAAATTTTGCTGTTACACAGTGATACAAGACATTTAGGAGTTGCAGTATTTTTTTCCTGTTTTTGATTGAATACTTTGGTGCAATACTGCAGGAGGGTTGGTGAGGAAAGGAGCTGTCGTACTGTCACAGTTTCCATTGTTCTACGTTCTCCATTGGTTCCATTAGTTAATGTAGGAATGCAAAGGGCTGGAAGTCAAAGTCAGGTTTGCAATTTATATGTTTTTTAACGCGGGCTTTGACTTTAGAAGAGTTTACAGCCTTTAGGGGACTGGCTGCTACACACTGGAGCGCAGAAGTTACATCATCAAAAGTAGAAATTGCTCATCTCATTAAGCGAAATGAACCTAGTCATAATGATTGTGAAGTGCATTGTTAGCTAGCTCTATCATTGCTGAAACATCTAACAGAAAAAGCTTATTTGTAGACTTCAGTTTTATACTGGTCCTGCTTACAAATCTGAAATTGATTTTCGTTCTGTAATGGGAAAATGAGAGCCTGTTAGCTTTGAAAAACTATTAAACTGCTGTAAGAGCACCTTCGTCCCTCACATTAAGCACCTCAAAGTACTGTGATTGCTTTACTAGAAAATTTTCAGTTCACTTCCCATCTGAAAACTGACTTCAAAAATTACATTGTTTACTGTTGCTAAATAATTCAGGATCCCACTTGCTTAGTTGAGGGAAAAGAAATTACTTTGCCGTTAGCTGCCAGGCTTTGAAAAATCAAGTTAAGATTCTTCTGGTGAGTGCTTCAGCCGCTGTAGGACACTGGAATTGGACTTGATAAGGGATAGAAATGGCAATACTGAAAAAAACCAGTCAGCCTTCAGTCATACAGGACATTAAGTTGCACCTCTCTCTAAGGTACCTACTTGAGGGTATGTGTCAGACCATCATGAGAGCAGGAGGAGGTGCCACAGAGTCCAGTTCCTTGAGGAATACTGGGCCCTGGCGTGCCGTTAACGGTAAAGAATAGTAAGGAAGTGGGAGTATAGTAGGAAAATTACTCTTAAATGCAACTTGGTCTAGGTAAAACAGTATCAGTTCCAGGAGGGAATATTGCACAAAAAAGGAGGCAGAATGGTCATGTGAAAAGCAGGGTATAAATGAGGTGAAAGCAAGAGAGACTGCTGTGACCTGTGTAAAGCGGCCCCACTACCCAGCTAGAAGGTAAAATATCCAGCACGCTGTTAAATGTCCACTGCACGCACGCTGCAGGGATCTGCCTGTCTGTGAGCCAGAGAACTGCTGCTGGAGGCTTCCTTTCTTCTCTCTGCTTCCTTTGAGGATCTCGGATAGTGAAGTTGGACACCTCGCTGTTTTTACACGTGCAGTAGACTGTGGTCCTACCCCTGCTAACTTCAGGAATCTCGTAGGCTGCACCAATGACCTAATTCTTTGGCCTTCCAGAAATTCCAGCTCTTCTAAGGAAATGTTGCCACATGGAGCTCTGACCTTCTCTCTCTTTTTTTTTTTTTAAACTGAGTATTGTCGGAGCCAACAGCCTTGAAAAAACTTCCCAGAAGTGAAGGGTATTCACCACCCAAGCCGGGGTGGCAGCCCAAACATGGGGCAGTGCTGATAACATCGCCAACTACCTTCTGCTATTTTATCTGCTTTTTTGAGAAGCAGCAGAAGAGAGCTTAGAAATACCACCTCTGGGACAGGAGTGCAGTTGCAGGATGCAGCACAGTCGTGTTTGACACTTGAGTGAATGGTCCCTTCCTGGCCATGCAGGTTTAGCAGCATTTAATGTTGTTTATCCTTAAACTTTCCTTTTCTGCGCCGGAGACCATAGGAGTGAATGAGAACTCCCTGAAGTGACTCCCCCTTTCCAAACAGAGGAACTGTTGTGGAAACTGCTCTTCCACCCCCAAGTCTTCAGCACAGGCGTCTCAGGAAGCTTGGTTTGCTCTGGGGAGGAACGTGGGCAGAAGCCTGAGCAATACACTGGTCTTCATCAAATGCAAACAACACGGTCTTTGTGTTTGGCTGAAATTAGTGCTCGATTAAGAACAGCTGGCTAGCACTGAACTCACACAGGCCAACGAGCTGCTGCATGGAGAAAGGACCACTTAAAAAAATTCTCCTTGTTTTCCTTGCTATCGAGGTATCAGCCTTTGGAACAAGCAGATACGCAGCTAATTGCTTAATGCTCATTAAAGTCCATGTATTGTTCAAAACCAAAACAAACCCAAGGCTTCTCCCACTCTCTGCTGTTCCTGCCTGCAGCTGGCTGTAAGGTTGTAGCTCTTTTTAGATTTGGGTCTCTCCAGTCCAGCTGATGCATGTGATACCCAGATCCGGTCACTTCAGCTTCTACCTCAGTGAAAATGTGTCGCTGCCACCTCTCCCACATGCCCAACTCCATCTGGTGCAAGGTGCTCACCTTTATGGCAAAAAGAGTGCTAAGATTTCACTGCATGAGTTCACTGAACTGGGTTCTTGTCTGCTCCAAAGTTAGATTAACAGGAGTTCTCTGTATGCTCCTTTGTGTGGTGCATAACCTCCCTGAAAATGGCATGCAAATAACTGCATTCAAATAGACATTAGCAGGAACAATTGGAAAAAATGTAAGGTTTTGCAGTGAAATTCTGTGCTAAGAAAACATATTACATACTTTGGCTCTTGCAATTTGTGTTATAAACCAAATAATTGCTCTATCTCAAAAGTTACATAAGTGTCAGAGAGGTTTTGAAGCGTCTGGCACTGGCACATGTTCTTGTCGCTGAAAATTCCTGGTTTCTAAGTTACTTTTTTTGCAGATAAGAGAGCCTGTTCCCCTCCTGGGTGTTACTTTCTACAGTTCTGCTCAGCTTTCCACTTGTTGACATAAAACAGCCTTCAGTCAACAGTTCTTTGGAGGAGGTATTAGGCCAAATGGAGTCACTTCAGCTCCTTCCCCCAGCTATTTAACTCTTGTAACAGGAGTAAAAATGAGTAAAAGGGTGGATTCTTTCTGTCGTTAAGAGGAGGACAGATGAGATGGATTACACTGGTTGGATAAAAAACTGCTGGCACGCTGATTAAGATTCTCTGCTTCTGCCTAGGCAAAGTCTGGCTACACTAACCTCACTGGGATTGATTACTCTCCTTCCGCAATACAACTCTCAGAAAAAGTAAGAGAGAAGGAAGGGATGTCTAACATTAAATTAAAGGTAAGTTTTGAGAGAAAGTTTACTGAGGAAGTAGGAAGCAATTGAACCTAAGAGTAAATGACCTAATTGGTATTCAGCTGTACTCGTCTGTGGGATTAATGATGTCTTTTGACATCCGTTTGTGAGAGAACTCTAACCAAATAAATCTGTACTTAGAAGAAGATTTTTGGTCTTTTTTTTTTTTTCCTTTCTATTTCTAACACTCATTAGGGCTAACAGGATTTCCCTGCTTCTAGCAGGGAGCAGAACAGTGGTTCAGCATTTGGCGCATTCTGTGTTTTCGCTGCTACATTCCGAATTTCAGATTTGAGAGCAAGGATGAAATCCTTTAGTGATAGAGCCATGCAGCTGCAAGTTGGAGAGGCCCTGCTGGCGCAGGGGTAGGACCAGATGACCTCCAGAGGTCCCTTCCAGCCTCAACCATCCCGTGATTCTGCGATTGCCTTTCATTCTGAGCTCACTCTCTCTGCTGTGCCGTCTTATTCTCCGGCTCTGTACCTGTACAAGAACAAATGTCTCCGTTCTTGTATGTCAGCTGTACTCTCTTTGTGGCGGGCACTGTCTCTTCTGTGTTTGTACAGCACCTGGGAAACCAGGGATCAAAGTGCAAATAATTTAAAGAAAGAACTTTGAGTGTGTCAGTTTGAGCTTTAGATGGGCAGGTCCATACGCAGGCTTCACAGCACATAGATCATCATAAGTACGTAGAGAAGAAGGAAGCTGATACGGCATTTTACGTGCAAAAAGTTACCCTTTGCCTAAGCACACCCGCTGTCAGGCTTGAGGCTTTTTATTTGAAAGTATTGTTTTGCATTAAAGATTCAGGAGCTCCTGAGAAAAAGATTGTTTTCACAGTTGCAGACTTCTGATTTAGGTAGAAGACTTCCTGGCTCCATCAGCTGAGCTGTCTGGATTTGAGATTTGTATTGACAAGGGGACTTTTGATGCCGTAAGCCTTAATCCCGATAACGCAGTGGGGAAGAGGAAGCAGTACGTGAGATCTCTCTGCGATGTACTGAAACCAGGAGGTTTTTTCCTCATCACGTCTTGCAACTGGACCAAAGAGGAGCTGTCAAATGAGTTCAGAGAAGGTAAGCAGCTGAACAGAGCCGTCTGCCAGCTTAGGGTTGTTCCAGGGTGCAATGGGTGAATTTTAATAACTATTAGTGCCTTGACTTTCTCACATCAGGATTAGACAAGGTAAAGCCACTAGTATGTGCTTCAGCCTATCCTACTTCTGTTTTCCTGATGAATTAAAGCTGCCGAGGTGCTAAGGGAGGACAGGTTTTGTTATGCTTGGGAGGAGGATTTCAGTCTTAGTTACACTTTTCTCTTTTGGTCTTTTATTAGCAAATCCAGTTCACCTGTCTGATTGCTTTGAAGTGGAGGTAACATTTTTACCCGTGTTTAGGCAAAGACATGTCTATGACCGTGACCTTTTGTGTCACCTCCTCAGCCACCTTTTGGATCCCCCCAGGAGGTTTTTTTTCTACGTGCTCGTTAGCTCCTGAATCGCATGCCTGATGCTTGAAACTCAGCGTGCATCTAAAACAACTGTCCCTTCTGGAGAACTAAAATTACTGGCAAGTTATCATCTCTTCTGCCATTAATTGGTGTGAGTCAGCCAGCTAAGATTTCTATTATCCATGGAAGGATTTCAGCTGTAGAAAGCAGCGGTGCAGCATAACTAATACAGTCCTATAAACTTACAGAGTAACTGACTTGCAAGTTTTCCAGACGAATGAAGAATGGTTTGCAAAGGGTTATCCAAGAGGAGAATAAAATCACATCCTTCTAATAAAAGCATTTTAATTTCTGTCTGGCAGGATTTGAAGTTCTGGAGGAGCTGCCAACACCCAAGTTTTGCTTTGGAGGAAGAATTGGAAACAGTGTAACAGCGTTGGTTTTCCAAAGGAAAAAAGCGAGGCCATCCATCTTGGGCAAATTAGATTAGTTGAGAGAAGTCTGAACTTCAAACCTGACAGAAAAACCTCAGGCACGTGTGTAAATAAATGCTCTTTGAGTGCACAGTAAAATACTCAGTATGGAACTCTAAGGGACTGTAAAACGTTGCCCTAGAAACATTTCAGCTTTGCAGAACTTGCCTGTAAATTTTGTCCTTGCTACAACCTCGCTTGTTTTAGGGAAGCTGCAAGTTTGTAAGTGAGAGGAAAATAAGGCATCCTGAGTATGGAGACTGATATAACTGAATGATCTTCATGTTTGGAATGTAAAGATTACCCAGTATTTAATTTCTGTACTGGTAATCGGTGACCAGTAGAGGTAAAGTTATTCTAGAAAGCAAGTCTCATTTCTCTGTTGTGCTATAGATTTATACTCCATAAGATGTGTAAGGGTCAGGGCAAGTATTGTTTTCTCCTCTTCACAGGATTGGTTGTTACTAGATTTTGTTCTCTAGGTCATATTTTTATATGATTTGTAAAGCTAAAAATAAACTTCCTAAAATGGTTACACAGAAATTTTAGCGTCAGAAATCACTAAGTGTGTCGCTCGAGTTGTAAGATCAACCACTTCCAGTTAGTATTTTTAGCAAGGCATTTGAAAGAAAATGATGGCAGTTCACTCTTTTTCTCTTGCTGCCACGTTGCTGTTTTTCAAATGCTCTGGACAACTGCTGCATTTCTTTTCGTAATCATTTCCTCCTATATGAATACATTTTCCATCGGGGAGGCTTCTTAGCGGTGGGGAAAGGCTGAGAACTGACCTTCTCCTCCAGCCTACTTCATCGCTTGCCCAAGGTCATGGGTTATTGAGGGCTTCCACGTCAAGCATTTCCCTGCCACTTCAGGGCTGTGTATTTCTCTGTAGGCAGCAAAATCTTCAGAGCTGCGGTTCCTCTGCTTTAACTGCGGCGTTGCGGAGTCCAGTCCTAAGATGGAGATACGCTAAGGTCACCGCTGAAACGTCATCCTGCTCCCCAAAGGTGTCACAGGCCTGTTGTGAGGAGCCTTAAAGGAAGGAAGTTGGGACAAGAATGTGGTTTTTTGTGTGGACAAGGGTCTGCTTTGTCCATAGGCAGTCATCTTCACGTCTCTTGTCTTGTTCTGCAGCAGAATTCAGCTCTATATAAAAATTTTCCAGCCACCTGCTCAATAAAGCTGAAAAGAGCAAGCCTACAGATCGGTGCCTTTGCAGGGAGGATGGGTAGGGAGTGGCCCTCACACGTCGAAAAGTTTGGATTCCTAAATTTGCCACGGCCTCTCTTCGGTCTCAAATGAGCCCCCAAGCTATTGCTGTTTGAAACTCAGGACTTCTGCTGCTGATCTGCAGTGTGTGTATTTCACAGGCCCAAGCACTTCCAGGTGTCACTGGGGAGTAGAAAAATGCTTGTAAAACATGTTTTAGGAGATTTATTTTAAGGCAGTAATAACCAAAGTCCTACTATTTAAAATCTGCTCTGTTGGAAACTTGGTATTTTCTGAATAATGGAGCCTGGGTAGCGGCTCTAATACTGACTTAAGCAATGATTTTTTTTTTTTGATTAGTGGATTTGGAAACGACATTTCAAAGATTGCCCTTGATGTGGGGCAGCTCACCTTGCTAGAGGGGTAAGCGGCGACTCTTGATTTCACTGCAACGCCACACTGCAGGAGAATAAACGCAGCGCTGGGAATACCTTCTAGTTCTTTGCTGTCTGAAGACCATGTATGTGATTTCACTGTCAGTTATGAGATTTGTGCGTAGTAAAACCGACATCTTCCATGGCTCCTGACAGCACTGACCTTTTCCTCCAGGAAGACAGGGAATGGCTTTTAGTACACATAAGCCCTAACAAGCAGCACCTCCACCAACAGCCGTGTTTGGCGCAGCTCAGGCATCCACGACCTGACTCCTGACACCCGCTGCTGCCAAGCAAACTGCTTTTAGGGATTCTCTTTGGAGGTATTTACTGGGAGAGGCCACTGTAATTGTTGTGAGGCTTGTACTCCTGAAAGAGCTTGAAGCATTTTACCCTGGATTTTTACAGGGCCTATCAGGGGAGTGAACTGTCAGGATGAAACACCTGAAAGAGGAGACCACATGAAATTAATGAGGTAAGTATTGATTTGAGGTGTTGGGTAGGGGCGTTTCTACACATGGGACTCAGCTGAAGTGTAGGGCAAATAGGTTCTCAAGACAAAAAGCTTTTGCCCTTTCAGCATCACAGTACTTTCTTGAAGGAAATACTTCTAAAACCATGTTTATATTAATTAAAAAGTGCGAAATACAAGGCATGAACACCGTGACACGACTCAATGAACACAGAAAATTCAGAGGGAAGGATCCTGTTCCCTTAGTCCTCAACTTCCCTTTTAGTGACCAACTTGTTAGTTATAAGAAAATATGTTCATTTAATAGTCCTTAAGAAGCAGAAATAATCAACTGCATTGCTGTCTGTAAGTTTTTTTGGAAGCCTGAGAGGGTAATATTCTGTTTTTAAACTTCAGTAAAACTCCATGATGTAAACCGAAGATTTTCTGGGAGCTACAATTTTTCCTGAAGAGCTGCTGGGTTACATCAGGAACACTAACAGAATTGTATCAGCTGCTCTTCCTGACAGGGTCAGCAATGCTGAAGTGTGTAATCACAGGCTTTCTGTCCCGTCAGGAGAATATTTTTTCAAATCATTATCAAGAGCATCAGGTTGAAATAACTGTTTTTGTTATGGGCTCACCCTCTCGATTTCAACTCCGGTGTTGCAGCACCATTTCTGAAAACAAGGGACGGCTTTCAGACAGTTGGATTTTTAATCCTGCCGTTGCTGTCGACAGGACAGCTGCTTCTGCTCGAGTTCACAAGCGCGTGTCCCACTGCACAGGTCTCAGGTGTGAGTCTTCAGAGAGCAAGTGAGGTGTGCAACAAGCAGTGCTGTGAGCAGGCTGCCCCACGCCTTCAGGGCAATAACAAGGTGTTTCAGAATTGACCAGAGGATACCAGTATGGAAGCTCTGCCTGTGGTACAGGATTTGCTGTACAGAACCAAAGAACAGTTCGAGGCTGGGCTGACACCCTCACGGTGTTTGCATCATCCTCGTCTTCAAGCAATGAAAAAAATTTCTCTCCTGAAGGAACGCTTCCTTGGCTAGAAAGGGAGATGTTCTCTCACAGAATTTGCATCCAAATTACTTCCGTTCTGGACAGATTTCTGGTGCAGGTTGTGGTGTCTGTGGGTCCAAAGGGTCAAAGGCCTGAACGGGCAATGAACTGGATGATGAACTGGAACCAGTCACTTAGAACAACTGGGCTTTTTGTCCCGGTGTGCAGGGTGGAGCCATGTGTGCAAGGTAGATGGATGCCCATGAAGCTATGAAGGTGAGGTGACACTGACCTCAGCAGCTTCTTTGGAGTTATTTTGATGTAAGGATGAGTTCCTGAATAGCTTTTTAGGTACGCTAGGCACAGCTTGCTTCTCTTTATCACTGCCACTGGCTTCTATGTATTTCTACATTCCGGGACTGCACTGGCAGCAGTGTAGCCATTGCAAGGAAAATCTGCATATATATATATATATATATACTCCACTATGTCCGTTCTACTGTGTTCCAGGGTGCCTGTTAAAAGACTGCCAAAATTTAGGTTATTTCATACCAGACAAAATCCTTAAGTACGGTATTTAGCAACATACAGCAAAATTTTCAGTGTTTTTGGCACTCGGATTGCTTTCCTAATCTTGGCACGCCAAAAGGTAAAGAACACGACTTGCCTTGACAATAACTGCTTTATTTTATGGGCCCTCTAAGCATTTTAACATATCAGGTCGTCTCCTGTAAAATATGTGGAGAGCACGTAGGAAATAAACGGGCCAGGGCTTCGCGTTGCTGTTGCATTCCCGTCGCTTGCTGCCTTTTTCTAGGGTAAGAGAGGAGAGTCCGGCTGCACTGTGTTACCTGCCCCTTGGTTGAACGAGCAGAGGGGATGGCTCTGTCGTATGCCTTGGCTGGAAATACGTTGAGCATGACCTAAGGCTTGTGGGCTGCAGCGAAATTGAGGAACAATTAATGGATAGCTAGGGCTGTCAGTGAAAGGGGATGAGGTGTTACAGCCTCAAAACAAAGGAGGAAAAGGGACGCCGGTGTGTTTTATTGGACACAAATCAGGGAAAAAGCCAATCTGTGGCTTAGTTCCCACTGGTTAGGTGACAGGGTAGCTTGAGATGAGCCCATTTCTAGGTCACTGAGGGCTGTCAGGCAAACAAATCATGTAGCCACAAGGTAGTGTCTAAATTCTGGATAATCGCAAGTGCGTAAGCCTGTGCCGGAGAGCCAGAGCTAATAAACACGAGTGAGGGAACAGAAACCTCAGCGCAGTCACTCCAGCAGCCAGGTGTTCATGGACAGTGTCACATGCCAAGCAGAGGTGGGAAGGAGGTGCATTTTTTTTAGTACTTTGAAATGTGGATAGGATTGTGAACCTAAACCTCTCAAGCAGCACAAAGATGTGCGTGCACGGTGCGATAAGCCTGTGTCCAGCCCAAAACACCGACCAGGAGAAGGCAGGCTGAAGGTTTGTCAGATTTTCTCTAATGCTCCTCCCTGAAAAACAAGTTGGAGTTTCGAACAGGCTCTTTGGCCCTAATTTGCAGTAGTAATTAGCCTTGCTGCGCTACCCTAGGGCACCTGAACTCCGTGGCTTCTGCATTTCTACTTATCCAATGTAGCATGCTGCTTTGGGGCTTGCCCAGAGCTGCTTTGGTTTTTGTGAATGATGGACAGCTACCTCTTGGCTTATCTTAAGTCAATTCAGACACAGACGTGGCTAAGAAAGGGATTAGCGCATTCAAGTGAGAGGAGAGTCCACATATTTATTTCATGGTCTATTTATTTTATCCACCAGCTGTGTCCATCGCACCGAGGCTGGGGCAGCCCATGGCTCAGCAGTCGTGTGCTCTCCCAAGGCAGGGGTGTGGCAAATAACCCGTGAACTAAAAGAAGGAGTTTTAGGTTTGGTGCAAATCCTATCGTATGCCAAATGTAGGAAGAACGACGCTCCCCATCACAACCCTCGCTGCATGGCGCCGCTTGTTTAGGGTGTCAGGTCTCCTTGATTCAGATACTCTCTGACCTAGAACACACTGATCGTGTTACAGAGATGTGCTTGTTCCCCGGGTATGAAATAGTTGTTAAAAATGCTTCTGCTCCCCGGTAGTGAGATTCTGTGAATTTTAGGATTTCCCCTGAAACCAGAGTGTGGCTTCTGGAAACTGGTGTCCATTTGGTGCTGCTGGAGACCTTCGGTAGAGCCAAGATGTCCCTGTGAGGACACTTTTACCCGGCATGGGTGTGTGGCAGGGACATCAGCCTGCGGC